TAAAGGGATAATAACTCTTCGTATGAGATCTATATTTCACAATAAAAACCTTGTGAATAACTCATAGAAATATAATATATTCTGTTTTACCACAAAAACAGCAGTTATAGCTATTGTTCTGATATCTGAACTTGTCTCTAGACCACGTGACCTCCATTGATGTCTGTACTCTGTTAAAATCTCTTAAGAGATTTTAACAAAAAACCAAACTTTTTAGAAAAAAACCAGGGACTAACTTTGAATGTAAAAATGGATTCATTAACCATTGGTAAGCATGGGAAAATTGTTGTTTACTCCAGGAAAATTCATTTTTTGGCCGAAACGAAGAGTTATTATTGCTTTAAGTGACAACCTTTAAGTGTAATTAAACAATTTAACTCAGATTGTCACCCATCCCTATAAGGGTCAATTCAATGTCACCTGTCTTGAAGGTAAGAGCCCTATCAACATTAAGGTACAATTACCTTTTTATATCTGTGCTAAAGCAAGTGCTATGCAAACAGAAAGACATCACTCAGGTGACAGGTATTTCTCTGTGCTTATGTACATATTGGTTTTAATGACAGGAGGTTGACAGTGTACACTATGCCCTTTTGACTTTAGTACATTTGTAGCAAAAATGTATCAAATCAATAAAACAATGCCCAAGTATATTTACTAGTACCTATCTACCAGTAAGCCTCTTTTTTCATAACATGAAGACAAACATATAATAGAAAATTTTAATTGTCATTTAATAAAACCCATTTACATTTACTGTACATTACCTGCCACAACTTATTTGTTTAAAGATTCACCAATTAAATTTGCTCCTATTCTATCATTTTTTAAATCAGTTCTGGACACTTTCTACATGCACTTAGCATCTGTCATACAACACTGTGTAACTTGGACACCTTAAAACCAGATTTTTTAATATTTTGATATTCAAGTTAGGCTATGTTAATTACAACTTCAGCTTATGTCGTAATCAAGAATAAAATCCACTTCATAAGATGTGTCCAGAATAATGATCAATTGAATTATTAGGTGACAAATTATGTTGAGTCTACTACATACACACATATATCTTCCAGTACAACAATGCACTAGAGCAGTCTCACCTCTCTCACCCTAGCTTTCCACCAAATATAGGGCCTCTAAATGAAGACCAGACCAACAATGTGTTGTTCATGTTTTCTCTCACAATACGTGATGCCATCGCTGCATTCAGACATGTATGCACTCACCATACCAGGGGCCCTCTGCTCTCATAGTAGAACTTTAGCCCAAAAATTGGTCTAAATGTTTCTAGGCAACATTTTGGTCCATTTCAGATCAAGCTAAAACCATAATACCTAGAGTTCACTGAGGTAAATAAGGAATTGGTCATTTTCAGCCTTGTTTTTCATGTTTTAAACACAACCGCAAAGATCCAACTTCTTGGTGAATTTATATGTAGCCAAAGAAGACTGCAATTCTCTCTAAGACTCTAGACCACTTTTCGACTAACATTTTTATTTGAAGTAGGACCTACTGAGCCTAGACCAAAATCACTCCACACAGCCTTATTTCAGTATCAGCCAATGTTCTTCCCAAGTCATCTGAGCAATGGGCAACAGGCAAGAAAACACTTCATGTACCTTAATGCCTTTTTTTGTCAAATGAATTATCTTAACTGAATGAGCTAAGTTTTCACAAACCAGAGTAAAAGAAAGATCAAGGCTGGCGGTCTACTAGCAAGTTATAGAATGAATTGTGACGGAGAAGATTTGAAAACGCAATATAAAAGCACAACCAGCTGGGAGAATTCTCACACAAGTTTTTAGCATCACTAGGTAAAAATTTCCTTGGTGCATTTTGAACTTTTTGCTATATATTCAGTGCCATAACTTAAATATAAGTTCAACTAATTGAACTTAAAACTTTCTTATACAGCATCTCTGAACACAACAAAACTTGGTGTGCTCAGCCTTACATCAAACTTGCATCTTCAAAAACTCACCTGATGTAGTTACTTTTCCTTTCCTTCTTTCAATTTCTAACATTTTGTATCATAACATGTATCATACATATAAGTCTCCTGAGAAAGCAACAGAGGTATGGAAGTTAAAAGTTAAAAGGGAGAGGGGTGGGGGGTGGGTTGTAGATGAAAACTCACCTCTTTTTGTTGTTTTTCTAGTTCCTTCATGCGTATTTCCCTGGCCTCCGCTCTGGCCGCTCTCTTGGCCGCCAGCCTCTGCTCAGCCTGAATAAAAAAGAAAACACGAAAAAGATCAGAAAAAAAGATAAAGCAACTGATGTGAATACAATGAAAATGGTGTCTGAACTTGAGCAAAGACATTGGTTTATAAATACAAACGTGACACACCAACATGCTTAAAGGCAACAAAAAATTTTCTCACCATTCAAAGAGTAATATCTGTTTTACAAGGAAGACAGTGACAATTTTTATTATATGATTATACATATGTAGAACTATGTAATAACAATAACTATATCTGACCACTAAAAATTCTAAAATGCTTAAAGATACATTTTACTGGCATTCTTAATTTGGAATTCTGCAACAGGTTTGTAAAATACAGTATGAGATTTCAAATAGGACTTCACTCGATACACTTGTTTCAGTGCTGGTCCCTGAGAGCGAAAACTAATACCATCTTCTCCCACCATCCTCCTTCTCCTCTGATAGTATAAAGTTTCAATGTAACATATCCAAGGCCACAGGTTCCAAGCAGAACAAGCAGCCTCTCTGAGAGACCAGACTTGAGAAGTGTTTTCCAAATCCTCTCAGACATCTGGACAATGCGCACTTCATTTCATAGCAATGTGGTATTAAAGTGCTCTGCATTAAATTTCTACATAGAAAAGGGGCAATGTGTATTGTTCTTGGTGTATGCCAGACAAATGATCCACAATATCAAAATGTTCAAGTATTTGGACTGCATGTCAGACTCCTAGTGTCTCAAAATCATATTATGATGTCTAAGTATCCTGCTAAGCTACTTATCTTTCTCAATTCAGAATATGATGAAACCCCTCAAAATTAGAGTACTGTACCTCATATCAATTTTTTTTTTTTTTTTTTTTTTGGTGTGTGTGTGTGTGTATGTATGTAGACAGACAGTCAGACATTTAAACAAATTATCTGTTGGAAATGGTATGAAACATATATAATGAATCAAAGTTCAGGGAAGGCTAGAGCAATGAATCTTGAAAACTAGTAAGAGAAAACTGCTTTTTTTTCTTTAAAAAATTTAGATTTGGCTCAGACATCCAGGATGCTCAGAAATCCAGGAAAAGATATCTAAGCAAAGAGGTAAACATTTTCCAACCATTAGTTATATAATGAAAGCACTGCCTCTTTCTATTCTATTGCAGGCATC